AAAGAGTGAATCCACGTAACTGTGCCAATTAACAAATTTGTAACCCTCGTCGTTAATTGTTAATTATTCCTCCCTCGTTTTTCTTCCTTCGGGCCACCAACCCTTGCCAATAATGTTTTAACTCTTTCTAGCTTTCCGAGCAACATCCGAATGTACGCGGACACATACTTGCTGATGTCATTAAATTAGTATTACATCGTGGCAAACCCATAAGACATGCTATATTTTTAATCTTTTTAATTATTCATAACTGCCAAACATTAATTGCCCCTTACTAATGCATGAAACTTAAAACAATAGAGAACATCATGAATCGTTATAAACTCGATTCAATGATTATTAAACTACCAATCTGTATTAATATCGAGATCTTCTATGAAACTGTATTTGTTTCCCAAATAAAGCATAAGAATATCATTGAGAATATGAAGTACATATCGGTTTTGTAACAGATATTTTGAAGTAAATAGTATTACACATAGACTAAATAATAGTACTTCGTTCAATTTACCTTCATACTTTAATATATGCGTATTTAATTATTGATGAATACCGATTAGTCTTCAAATAATCCAGCACATTCTTACGAAAATAAACAATGTATTTTGCATTAAAATCTTTAAAAATATATTACACATATGCTATATATGTCTTGTTAAACAATTTACTACCTAAAATATTAAAAATTTAAATAAATAATTTAATAATTACATTCTTTCAATTTTTCCCTGAGACTACGTATAATACAATATGCAGTGAAGGAATTGAAAGAAGCTACAGATACCAATCAAACTGTTAAGACAATGTAACCTATATTTTACTAAGTAACTGTTTTTAAATTTTCTTACTTCCACTTAGAGTAAAATCATTCCGTTCCTATATATCAATAATGTAATAGTAAATTTTAAGCAGAATGTCACGACTTTGATATACTAATGTTAATTGTTTGATTATTCATTAAAATCTATTCGAGTTTCGTTAAAATTTCTACATCTAACTTAAATATAATTACCTTTATCTATATATTTGGAATCTTTTACTATTACATAAATTAATTTAGGATAAAGATTATTATAATTCATTAATTACTCAGTTCAACAATATTTGCATAAATAATTTATATCAATGCTTTCAGCTACAATGCTGCACATAATTAGCGAAGCTATAGCCGCCTTGTTTTCTTATACCCTCCAATCGTATATATGTGTATGGTACATACAATATAAACAAATATTTTATACTTTTCATTCTTATTTCATAATTCATATGATCTTCCAATCAATAAAATTAGTTAACATAATAGTTAATATTTAATAAATTAATAACAATTTTTAGAAATTTTGTTTATTTTTATTTTTTATATTGCATTATTTATTAGTAAGTGCTTCTGAATTATCTATTAATTTTATTGAAATTAGTTACAGCGCAATCGAAAAACGGTATAATTTACTTGACAAAATTACTTAATTCTTTTCATTTTAATAACAGTAGAAATATTGTTCTTAATTACTTCATTTAATCATCTCTAAACATTATTTATTAATTTTAGTAACTGTAATAATAAACTCATTAATATAAAATATCACATACATAGAAAAAACATTAGAAATACTTTGGTTATTAAATTTAATTCTATTATTAAATAATTCCATTATCAAATGTATATAATATCAACCACTATATATTAATGAGAATTCAACGCCTTTTTATCAATCTTTCTAAACATTTCAACTTGAATACTTTGTTGTTTATTTTGCATTAGATAAAGCTGTATTTAATTAATAGATTTCTCTTTCTTTACTATTAATATTTTCAAAAACCTAATTATTGAAATTACAAGTTTTTCTTATTACATTTTTTTACATTTTGAATCTATAAAATCTAAATCTCTATTAAGCAAAAAACCAATGTATCCAAATGAATTTTTAGGATTTTTTATATGTCTTTATGTTCTATTTTCATTCCTTTCAACAATATTTCATTGTAATTATTAAATGAAATATCAAATAATAATTCATGAAGTAATTTAATTTGATATTTCAAGTAATGATTTATATCTTAATGTATTTCCAAATTTATTGCTTACATAAAAGAATATCCGCTTACAGTAAACTGTGGCTTTAGTATTTTTTATTTGATATTAAAATTTATATTTTATTAATTTATAACAAATTTATTTGATAATTGTTTTATTTGAGACCCATTTGAATCTATCATTTCAATTTTAAATTTCCAAAAATAAAATTAAATAAATAATAATAGCTAGAGTATTGATAAGTAATTATTTGGTAAATTATCTTTAAAATATAAAAGTAAACTGTTTTCTATTTTATTATTACAGTACTCTTCATTAATTATGTTGTTATATTTATTAAAACTTCCTTATCTCTGGTTTTATAATCTAAAATTTATAATTAAATCTGAGTTATTACGTTAACATTTACACATATCCCATTTTTCATATCAAATCAATTTGTTTAATATCATATATTTTTTAAGATAATTTTATGTTACATTTTCAAAAGATGATCAATTTTATTAAAAATATATGTAGTATTGCATTGTTTCAGTTACGGACTAGATTCAAATTAATTTTTTTTATATCAGTATTGACATAATTATATATATTAAATTTTTAGTGTTCATGTTTCATATTAAATTAAAATAGGTTTGATCTCTGAGATTTTCATTTAATAAGTTTTATTATTAAAACTTATAGTAGTTTAGTTTATTCATTTCATAGTAAATGAAAAAACTACTCTACAATTTTTATATATTTTAAGTTTACCTTTAGTTTTATTCATTTCATATTAAATGAAAAAACTACTCTACAATTTTTATATATTTTAAGTTTAGTCTTATGATGCTTTATGCTACACAATATTTAACAAATGCCCATACATCAGATAGTATTAATTAATTAATTTTGCAGTAATAAGAATTTGTAATTCGAAATTAATTTTTTAAATTTACAAAAGTTATAATTTTATGATGTTTTTATATTACTAATTAATATTAAAAACTCTGTTTAAATGATTAATGAATTAATTAATAAATAATTGATAAATAATTTGATTAATAAATTATAATAAATAAATTATAAATAAATAATAATTTTAATAAATAAATGATTGAAAAATAATTGATTGTATAAATGATTGTTATACCTTACAGTAACAATATTTATTTTATTAGTTAAATAATTCCAGTTTTTTCTAGTACAATATAAAGGAACTTTTTAATAAATATTGTTTTTAGTAATTAAATGTTGGATAATTAAAAATATTTACCTTGATACTTTTTAAATTGCATTTTATGCAATGAAAATAGTCTATAGTAATTATGGATGCAAAAAAGGAACGATATATTTATCGTGACACTTAAGGATTTCGCTATAATAAGAATTAATTCGAGTTACAAAAATATCATTTATTCATAATCGAATCTATTATATAAAACATGTATTTATACTATGATCAATAAGTAGAGTCTTTAAAATTTATATTTTTATCGTGTGTTAAACTAAGTTAAATTTGCCTATCTTCATAGTCAATTAATTTTATAATATAAAATTATTTTATATCGTAAATTTTAACATTTGACAGCTTTATTGTTTTTATTACCTTTTAATTTATGATGTAATTACTTGCTTCTCAACAATTACTTAATTTATTTATTTGATTAAACTTGGTCATTGTCAAGAAAGCTACGCCTGTGCAGTTTTTCCTTATTAATAAAAATTGTATTCAAAATAACTAACAAAAAAATAATTCTCAAATATCTGCACTTCATTGAAAATGAAATTTTAATACATTTCAAAACAGTTATCTAAATTATTAGAATTACCCGATGATCGTCATCTATACAGCTTTCAATAGTATGTTGAATTCGCTCTTATTATTTTTTTATTAACCCAATTTTTACTTGAATCTTTGTTGATTCCATGAATTATGTTTCATTATCAAAAGCTTCTATATTTAACCAATTGATAATATTTATCTATTGCAACTAACTTTTTTCTTACCGAATAGTCATATTGTCAGCACTCATTAAACAAATGTATTTCATAAAAATTTTTGAATATATACTTAATTAATGTAAACTGTGAATTTTGACGCTTAAAAATAATTAACAGTATTTAATTATATTAGATGGAAGTTTTCTTTTTAAGCTATTGATCCGTATTAAGTATTAAAAAACAATTGTTCGCTTATTTAATGGAGAGATAAAATGAATATTACTATTTCGCAGCTTGTATTAGGTGTTTTATCTGTTATGAATTAAAGTACTCAAGTAAACTCTGACCGGCCGTTGATGATAACACGTGATTTTTACTATATTTTTGTGGAGAAGCGGTATTTTAGTTTTTTCATTAAACCATGGATTTGTTATGTACACGAACGACACCGATTGCTTTTCTTTCTAATTCTTCTGTCCTATTCTGTATGCAGTCATCTCGCTCCTCGTAGTATCTGTCTCAATTTCTAACCCGTCATTCGTACTTTTTTTAAATATCAGCATTTTCAATACTTATTTTTATGGATACGCTAACGCCAACGAAAAAAAACTGCATCGGCTAATTTCGATTATTGACTCTTGAACTTCAGAGACAATCGAAGGTAGTGATTCCTCGCGTAATCGCGTGGGCCTTGTATTGTTTGCGTAATTTTGCAAATCAAAGGTCTTTGACCGCTGACAATAGTTGATAAGCGAAGTGTCCATGTCGATAAGGACCCACGGGCGTTTATCGACGAAGCGGAAACTACACGTCGTCGGCAGATAAAAGAAATGTTAGGCAACTAGGGCTGAGCGGAGAGATTGTGAAATTTATCATTCACTTATCATCTAGACAGTGTCAGGTGTAAAATCGATAGCGAGCGCGCTTCTGATTGGCCACAAATAAAAGCATCCCTTTATATTGCGATTTGTATTCTCCCGTTCATAATAGATTGATGACAACCCATATAAATATGCAGCCTAATCTATTTTACTCTTTATAGACGTATTCCGGACTCTTCTGCGTGGTCGTTAATCCATATAAGAAGTTGCCAATTTACACGGAGAAAATTATGGAAAGGTACAAAGGCATTAAGAGACACGAGGTACCACCCCACGTGTTTGCTATAACAGATACAGCATATCGCTCTATGCTGCAAGGTAAGTGCTTTTTAATCCTGTATCCATTCCTGTCCTTCGCCACCTTCGTACTGTTCAGTTGAGCTTCTCCGATTTATAAATATATCATTCAACGTTCACCAAATTAAACAAATTTTATTTCTCTTTATTTTCTAATTAAGTCAAGACACTATTTCCATCCACACAATACCGCATCATGTAAAATTATACTTTTTAAATGCCTCTTCACAAATTTATATATCTTGTATGCGGATATTCAAGATGTATTGTAAAGAAAAGGCTGCGTTGCAAAATCACAATCAATAAGAAACGCTTTATAAGTTATATGTAAAAAATTTGTTCTCATAAACAGTAAATATGAGTGGCGACTAATGCTGTAATCAGAATAAATTTCTTGGAACTTTGCTTCGTATAATTTGTTCATTGTCACAAATTAAGTATAATAACAATATTAGAATTATTCCAAATCGTTAAAATGTCGCTTACATTCCGAGAGCCTAGGTAGATTTTAAGCATATTTTTCCGATATTAAAATCTAACATACGCCACAATTATTAATGGGAAAAAATGGCATCCGTTACCATTGTAAGAAATAACGTTAAAATTAATCCTTCGACGAGAAGAGCATGGAATATTCGCAAGAATATGCATCTAAAAATTATATTCCAGACCGAGAAGACCAGTCGATATTGTGCACGGGTGAGTCAGGCGCCGGCAAGACGGAAAACACGAAAAAAGTAATCCAGTATCTGGCCTATGTTGCAGCTTCGAAACCCAAATCGAACGCGGTAAGTGTCACATCTGAGAATACATCTTAAGCGTTGAATATTCTAGGTACGCCGAGCGTCCGGTTATCGAGTCGCGGGAAGCGTGATGATAGAAGAGAAAGACGAGATCCTCTCTCACCTTCGCGATATTCGAGAAGCCGGCAGATTCGGTGGGCCAGGGCCGGTTCATTATCAGCCGAGTCCCGATTCACGCCTGAATATTTTCAGAGGCCCGGAGCGCGTGGAAGCTGTACGTGGGATCGACATTGAGAACGTCACCTGCTGCGATCTATTGAACGAAAGAACATGCGTGGTTAGCTGTCCACTAGCTTTTCTGAGCTTCGTTGCTGCGCTCGAGCAAGCCAACGTGGAATCAAGATCCGGTCTTGGTGAATTTTTCGCGGAGTGAATTGAAACACTGGCCCCATTGTCCTTGGCTCTACTTTATAATCGCGAGCATTATACGGTTAAAAAGAGGCAGATCATTGCGCATGATCGTAAACACCGAGCAATTTATCGGGAGCGCGAGTCTTTTCGGAAAATAAACGCATACAAAAATAAACGATAGATCTTTGACACTTTTTTCTCTACATCCGTCTTCTCGTTGCAGAAAGCACAAGCTGTATTACGAGGACAGAAAGGAGTATTGCTATCGGTTCAAGTCAAGATCTTACAGAGTACCTAATTATGCCTGTGAGCGATTGAGTGGGGGAGAGAGAGAGAGAGAGAGAGAGAGACAGAAAGAGAGAGAGAGACAGAAAGAGAGGATGCTAGTATAAAAGTGGGAATTGAAGTAGAAGGAAAAAAGAGACGAGTGCAAATGGATTACGCCAATGTTATTGTAAAAATTACAGCAAGCTGGAAGGGTTTAAAAAACATAGTTTGGCGTCTCTTCTCCC